AGGAGGACAGGAGGTGGGATGCAGTGGGATGGTGTGTGGGCTCCCCTGCAGCCCTGCAGGTGTCACCTGGGCATCGCTATTCTCAGAAGCCACGTCATTGTCTGTCAGTGTCAGAGGCTGGCATGGCTTGGGGGAGGGGCAGCGGCAATGCTGAGGAGGCTGGCAAAGAGCCATTTTCCTCCTTCATTGAAATTTTGCAGGTCTTTCTTGAGAGCCACTAGGTACCAGGTTCAAGGGGCTTCACAGAGGATGTTGCACGGCCCCTTTGCCCTTCCCTCACCCCAGATGACACGAGAGCGGAAAAGCAGGGTCAGCTAGAATCAGGAAGCAAACACAGAGCCACCAGGTTCCATGCAGGGAGAAGGTGATTAGGGTGGGGGCCCTCTTTGTCCAGTGCCACCTTCCAAAGCCCACTGGGCACAGCCCCATGGTGCCAGGCCAGCAGCAGTGACCAGGGCTTCAGACCCCTCCTGCAGCTGCCACACTGTGGGCATGCAAGAAAAACATGGTCCCCATGAATAGATGAATCCCCAACGTGGTTTGGCTTTGGTGTGGTGTGCTGGCAAGTCTGCCCATAACAGTGTGAACATTCACAGCAGTTGACAGGGGCTGTTTCCTGCACGCTGTGCTCTGCAGGTCCCAGGTGCCCTCAGATCCATCATCTGCAGGCCAGCCTGAGCAGATTCTGGAAAGAGCTCATCCTGGCCTGGCTGTGCTATAGATACTGATGGCGATTATTAGGGGGAGCGGCAAGGTGCCTGATGAGGAGTGTGAGCGTGTACACAAGTGTATGCGCTATTGTGTATGTGTGGCTAGCCAGCGGAACCAGCAGCTACCACCATCAACCTCTGACAGAGTGCCGGGCATGTAAGAGGTGCTCAGACATCACTTGTTGAATAAGTGAATGAATGCACGAATGAATATGTGAATACATGAATGAATGCATGGGTGCTGTGGGAGGGCTGCCACTAAGTTGTAGAAGCAGTTTCAGATTTAGAAGCGGGCTTCTGAGCCAAGCATGGTGGTGCACCTGTAGTCCCAGGTACTGGGAGGCTGAGGTGGGCGGATACCTTGAGTCCAGGCATTTGAGGCTGCAGTGATCTGTGATCATGCACTGCACTCCAGCCTGGGCAACAGCATGGGGACCTGGCTCTAAAATATACATATATTATTGTTATTGGAGACGTAGTTTCAGTCTTGTCACCCAGGCTGGAGTGCAGTGGCACGATCTCAGCTCACTGCAACCTCTGCCTCCCGAGTTCATGCAATTCTCCTGCCTCAGCCTCCCAAGTAGCTGGGACTACAGGTGCATGCCATCACAGCTGGCTAATTTTTGTATTTTTAGCAGAGACGGAGTTTCATCACGTTGACCAGGCTGGTCTTGAACTCCTGACCTCAGGTGATCTGCCCACCTCGGCCTCCCCAAGTGCTGGGATTACAGGTGTGAGCCACCACACCCAGTCAATTATTATTATTTTTTGAGACGGACTGTTGCTCTGTCGCCCATGTTGGAGGGTAGTGATGTGATCTCAGCTTACTGCAACCTCTGCCTCCTGGGTACAAGCAATTCTCCTGTCTCAACCTCCCAAGTGACTGGGATTACAGGCGTGCACCACCATGCCCCACTAATTTTTTGTATTTTTAGTAGAGATGGGGTTTCTACATGTTTCCCGGGCTGGTCTCAAACTTCTGACCTCAGGTAATCTGCCCACCTTGACCTCCCAAAGTGCTGAGATCACAGATGTGAGCCACCGTACCCAGCCAAATTATCTTTTTAGAATAATAAATCTCACTCTCCCTCATTCTCACTCTGTTGCCCAGGCTGGAGTGCAGTGGTGCCATCTTGACTTACTACAACCTCCACCTCCTGGGTTCAAGCGATTTTCATGCCTCAGCCTACCAAGTAGCTGGGATTACAGGCACCCACCACCACACTCAGCTAATATTTGTATTTTTAGTAGAGATGGGAGTTTCACCATATTGGCCAGGCCAGTCTCAAACTCCTGACCTCAAGTGATCCACCTGCAAAGGCCTGGGCCAAGCGCCCAAAAAAAAAAAAAAAAAAAGTCTTTTAATAAAAGAAAACAAGCAGGCTTCTGGAATAAATGTCAAGAAGCTGAAATGCATGTGTTAGAAATTTCAGGGGGAAAAAAATAGCTCCAATTAATTAGAAAAGATCCTTCTTACAAAATTGGTCATTACCAAAAACAAGGAAAAAATAACCAGGGCTGGCAAGTTTGAAGTCTGTCGCTCTGATTGAAGACTAAATTGAGACACCTTTACAGAGGACAATTTAGCAACTGTTATCAAGAGCGATAAGAAGATAGATAGGGGCTGGGCCTGGTGATTCACTCCTATAATCCCAGCACTTTGGGAGGCTGAGGCAGGCAGATCACCAGGTGGAGAGATCGAGACCATCCTGGCCAACATCGTGAGACTCCGTCTCTACTAAAACTACAAAATTTAGCTGGGCATGGTGGTGTGTGCCTGTAGTAGCAGCTATTTGGGAGGCTGAGGCAGGAGAATCGCTTGAACCTGGGAGGCGGAGGTTGAAGTGAGGTGAAGTCGCACTATTACACTCCAGCCTGGTGACAGAGTGAGACTCTGTCTCAAAAAAAAAAAAAAGTAGACGTTTTATACAATCATTTATATTCATTTAGTCAGCAAATATTATGAAGCCTCTACCATGTACCAGTCATGGTGCAAGCAACCAAGTATGTAGTGGGGATCAGAACAGACAGGCCCTTGCCCTTCCGGAGCTTACTTTGTAGAAAGAAGATATAAATTAATCAAATTATCACACAAGCATACAACTATATGAAAGAAAATGGAGTAACTAAGACTAAGGCTTTCTGCAGTGAGACGGAGAGATGGCGGGAAGACTGCACTCACGCCTGCTACAATTCAAAACACACTCTATCCCAATAGACTTGGATACACAGCTGAAGTCACGATCTGCCAGCTCCAACATTTCTCAGCTGGGAGTACCCTAATTAGCTAACCAGTCAGAAAGGCTTTGCAATTTAGGATTTCTGCCCAGCCAATGAGCTGCCTCTGAAAACAACTCTTTGTGGAAATCCCACATAAAAAAATCCTCTCCTGGCCCGGCGCAGTGGCTCGAACCTATAATCCAAGCACTTTGGAAGGCCAAGGTGGGTGTATCACCTGAGGTCGGGAGTTGGAGACCAGCCTGGCCAACATAGTGAAACCTCCTCTCTACTAAAAATACGAAAGTTAGCCAGGCATGGTGGCGCCCACCTGTAATCGCAGCTAGTGGAGGTTGCAGTAAGCTGAGATTGCACCACTGCACTCCAGCCTGAGCAACAGAGTGAGACTCCATCTCAAAAAAAAAAAAGATAAAGCATTTTCTCCTGCACTTGCCTCCTGGGATGCTCTTCGGGGCTGTCCTGATCCAGTGTACCTGGATTGCAATTTTTTCTTTCCCAAATAAATGCTATTTCCTTTGGCCTCCATGTCAATCTCTTTTTAGCTAACGATAGCAAGTTATAACAAATAGTTTGAAGGGAAAGTATAGGATGCTACAAGACAGGGTAGCAGCAGGGTGGGCCCTGATTGGATGGGGGTGGTCAGGACAGGCCTGTCTGGGGGAGGGACATTTAATAGAGGTACAAAGGGAGAACTGAAGGAGGGACAGACATTGCCAGATGATGAATGAGGAGAACAGCTATTCAACATACAGAGAATAGCATGTGCAAAGGCCCTGTGGCAGAGAGGAGTGTGGTGGTTTGCTTGAGGAGCTGGCCAAAGGCCAGTGTGGCTAGAGTACGGTGAGTGATGAAGAGCGTGGGAGGAGAGGGAATGGAAGGAGTCAGATCACATGGGGCCTTGTGGGCCATGTTACGGAGTTCGGATTTTCATCCTAAGTGTGGTGGAATGATACTGGAAGGTTTTCAGCAGAGGAGTGGGTAACTTAATCCAGTTAGACTTGCATGAGGTTCAGGAGAGAGAGGATGACAGCTATGACCAGTGGGGTCCCTGCGGTGGTGTGGAAAATGAGGGAGCTGTGGGATGCAGTGGGGGCGTGGACTGGATGTGAGTGACAGGGAGCAGACCCAGTGATGTTGAGCAACCCTGCAGTGGCAGGAAGGGAAGATGGGGTCAGGGAGTGGGAAGTTCAGGTGGGTGGTATTGGAGGGGTGATGACTGGGTTGAACAAGGGACTTGGCCCCTGAGGTGGGACATGAGGCAACAAGAAAATTAAGGATCTGAGAGGCCGGGGTTGATGGGTCATCCGCACAGCTGCCGGAACCCCTGAAGATGAGTTGTAAAAGCAAAAAGCTGGAAATAACTAAAATGTCCAACTATTAGGGATGGTTAAGTAAATCATGATGAATCCACCAGGCAGAATATGTTACAACCACTAACAATAAGGGTGGTACACACCAAGCAGCACAGAAAACTGTTTCTGTTGTACTTACTGTTACATGGGAGAGAAACTCCCCAACCTCAGGGATGGCTGACTCCGCCAGGTGGAAACTTACTTCCTTATTCATTTAACACTGTTTATTGACATGCAAGATACAAATCAAACGGAAAAGTACACCAGCCACAAGCGTCCAGCTTAGTGAGTTTTCCCCATCTAGCCAGTGCCTAGAACAAGAAATAGAACATAAGAAACGGTGGGGTTTCCAGGTCTTTTGCAATGAGTTTGTGTTCATTTCGTGTGAAAGAAACCAATTTTAAAACATGGGCAGAGCCTTGGCTTTCGGTGTGCAGCCTCTGTGGGAAACCGGCTCGGCTCCTGAAGCTGTGTGCTCAGGGAGGAGCCGGTGTTGGCTCTGCTTTTTCTCGCCCCGGTTGTCTGTCACCATGGGGAGAGTAACGTGGCCCCACAGCTGATAATGACCCCAGGGTGAGGGGGAGAGGACTGGGCAGGGACACTGGTGTCCCTCCCCTACTCCCAGCCTTCCCGGCCCAGCTCCCTGAGTCTTCGGGGGATCCTTGGGTGCCTCACACCTGTCCCTGCTTCCTTCCCATAGGTAGAAAAACTTGTGAAATGTTTGGATCCCAACGACCTGGGGAGAATCAACTTCAAGGACTTTTGCCGCGGGGTGTTCGCCATGAAAGGTGAGGTCTTCTGGGCTCTCCCAGGTGCTCTCAGGTCCCGCCCAGCTGAGGAAGCTGCTGTGACTGGGGTCCCAGCCTGGATTCCTCCCCAAAGGGGTCCCAGAGCCCAGGATGGGCCCGAAGTAGGCTCTGCCCTGGCTCCCCCGGGGACAGAGGGGAAGGATGCAGTTGCCCCAGCCATGGGGGCTGCGGTGTCACTTCTGCCCTTCCCCTTGTGTGCCTGCCTCTGGAGAAAGCCTCCCTCCCTGCTTTTCTGGCCTCTGCCTCTCTCTTCCGCTCTGGGATGACCAAACCCAAGGAGTCTCCTGGGATGTGGGAGGGACTCCAGTTTTAAGACCAGGGCAGTCTCAGGCAACCCTGGACAGAGCGCTGCTCACCTGACCGCCGCCTCCCTCTGAGCTGCTTTTGTGTCCTCCCTGCTCCTGCCTCCCTTTTTTTTTTTCCTTTGAGACAGGATCTGACTCTGTGGCCAAGGCTACTGGAGTGCAGTGGCACTATCATGGCTCCCTGCAGCCTCTACCTCCTGGGCTCAAGCAATCCTCCTGCCTCAGCCTCCTGAGTAGCTGGGACTACAGGAGGTACACCACCATGCCTGGCTATTTTTTGTATTTTAAGTAGAGATGGAATTTTGCCACATTGCCCAGGCTAGTCTTGAACTCCTGAGATCAAGTGACCCTCCTGCCTCAGCCTCCCAAAGTGCTGGGATTACAGGCATCAGCCTCCGTGCCCTGCCCTCTCTTCTTAATTCTTCCTAATTCCTGCCTTTCTTCCCTGCTCCCCCTTTCAGCTTTAAGGGGGACAAGATAAATCCCTCTGTCTTGTCCCAAATTCAAAGGCCTGTGTGAGAAACTTGCAGGAGTCAGAATATGGCCACTCACTTACCACTAAACTGTTTATCTGAGACAGTGAAGGCTAAGCACGGTGGCTCACAACTGTAATCCCAGCACTTTGGGAGGCTGAGGCAAGCGGATCGCTTGAGTCCAGGAGTTCAAGACCAGCCTGGCCAACATGACAAAACCCCATCTCTACAAAAAATACAAAAAATCAGCTGGGCATGCTGGTGTGTACCTGTGGTCCCAGCTACTTGGGAGGCTGAGGCAGGATCACCTGAGCCCAGGAAGTCGAGGCTGCAGTAAGCTGAATTCATGCCACTGCACTCTAGCCTGGGTGACAGAGTAAGACCCTCTCTCAAAAAAGAAAAACATCTGAGACAGCGGCACAGGTCACCAGCTGGGTGGGTTCGCTAGGGCCTCCCCACCAGCTGCATAGAGAATGCAGTCACTTCTGGAGTCCCAGCATGTCTGGTTATCTGTGAAAGAAGCCGTGGCTTCCTGTCTGTGGCTCAGATCAAGGTGAGCCCTTTTCTGTGGGGTGCCTGTGAGTCCAGGGAGGTTGGAAGGATGCAGGGATTACTTCAGCAGAGTGAGGGGTGAAGGGAAACGAATGCACGGTGCAGGGGGCACAGAACATAGAAGGCGCCGGGGACACTTTGGGAGCCCGAGGCGGGTGGATCATGAGGTCAAGAGATTGAGACCATCCTGGTCAACATGGTGAAACCCCGTCTCTACTAAAAATACAAAAAATTAGCTGGGCACGGTGACGCGTGCCTGTAATCCCAGCTACTCAGGAGGCTGAGGCAGGAGAATTGCCTGAACCCAGGAGGCGGAGGTTGCGGTGAGCCGAGATTGCACCATTGCACTCCAGCCTGGGTAACAAGACCGAAACTCTGTCTCCAAAAAAAAAAAAAGAAGGCGCCAGGGAAGGATTTGGTGGACAGCGGGCCACTGCAGACTGCACCCTCCATGTGCCTGTGCCGGGCGCTCTGCCAGATCCCCCTCCCGTGTTCAGAGCCACCTTGGGGCATTTGCTAGGGCACCCAGGAGCGAGGCCAGGCATGTACAGAGTCAGCAGGAACTGGAGCTGTCCTGTGGGCGGCCCTGTCCTGGACGTCCCAGGGTCTGCAGGACGTGGGGGGCACCAAGCCTCAGAGGGATGGGTGTGTTTGGAGTCCCTGTGAGCCAGGTGGGCCGCACTGCCTTAGGTCCCCTCCCCCAGGAAGGCCTCCTGCCCTCCTGTTGCCCAGCCTGCCCTGTGTGTGGGAGTTAATCCCAGAGAACAAGGGCCTGTTACAGCCCCCTCCACAGTGCCCAGAGCCGAGTTCCACACCGCCTGGGCTCCATCCCTCCCTTCTGGTGCTCAGCTGGCTTCCTGCAGCCTCAAGCCCCCGCCTCAGCCCTTCCCACCCCATGCCCATTAGTCAGAAGCAGAGCAGCCATGCCAGGCTGAGGTTTGACCCTTCACTGTCCTTGTGCCTGTCTTCAAAGGGTGCGAGGAGCTTCTGAAGGATGTGCTGTCAGTGGAGAGCATGGGGACACTGCCGTGCGCGCCGGAGATCCCAGACTGCGTGGAGCAGGTAAGGCTTGGGGAGCCTCGGCGTCTTCCACGGCTCTGCCTCCTCCTTCTTGGTCTCGCCTTTGCTCCATTTTCAGTATCTTGGAGGACCCAGAACCTCCCTCTGAGGACCCTTCTTGAACATCAAAATCAAGAAATAGTTATTTAAACAAGAGCCCTGGGGCCTCTTTCGAAGCCCCAGCAGAGTGAGTAACAGCCCGGGGTCCTCACCCAGCAACTTTAAACCCCGTCTGTAGCACGGAGGGGAAATTGAGTTACAGATAGGGAAAGTGACAAGTCAAGGGCAGGCAGGACTGGAATTGTTTCCTTTTCTCCTGCACCATCGCTCTGTGAGCTGAACAGTTCCTGTTTATTTCAAACAACAACGAATTCTCCAATTCTCTGACACTAACTGGTGTCCAGCAATCAGTTCCACCTGCCGCTAACTACCCAGCGTTAGCACAGACTCCACAAGTCAAGGTCATCCTCATGAGACTGCCCCACCTCCCACGCCAGCTGCAGGTCTTCCTGGCCCACTGCAAACATAGGGTTCCCAGGACCACCTTCCTCAGGCTGGGTAATTCACTAGAAACACCCGGGAAATGGTTATACTTACGATGATAAGCATATTAAAAGGATACAACTCAGGAATAGTCCCACGGAAGAGATGTACAGGACAGGGTATGGGGAGAAGGTGCAGAGCACCAGCACCTTCACTTAGGGGCACTGCCTTTAGCATATCACCATGCTGCCAGCACCCAGGCTCTCTGCATCTTATTGTTCAAGAATTTGTAGGCCTGGCATGGTGGCTGATGCTTATAACCCCAGCACTTTAGAAGGCTGAGGCAGAAGGACAGCTTGAGCCCAGGAGTTTGAGACCAGCCTGAGCAAGATGGTGAGACCCTGTCTCTACAAAAAAATTAAAAATTAGCTGGATGTGGTGGTGCACACCTGTAGTCCCAGCTACTGGGGAGACTGAGGTGGGAGGGGCATTGAGCCCAGCAGTTTGAGATTTCGGTGAGCTGTGCCTGCACCACTGCACTCCAGCCAGCCTGGGAGACACAGCCACACGCATCTCCAAAAAAGTTTTACAACCCAGTCTTCAGCCCCTCTCTTCTCCCTGGAGGTTGGGGGTAGGTGGGACGGCGAGGAAGTTCCACCTCATTGTGTGCTCAGTCTTTCTGGTGACAAGCCCCATCCTGAAGCTCTGTACCAGGAAGCGGGACAAAGACCGCAGTCCCCAAGGCTCTCTTTTACTGTTATCATCGCCTAGTGGGTGTTTCTTATAAAACTTTGAGCTAGTTTTCCAAACAGTGCCACTTCTTCCTACAGAGAAACAGTTTAAGGTGCACAGTTGACACCCGCCGAGGTCCCTCCTGGTGACAACACCCAGAACTAGAAGAGGATGATTTGGATTTCTCATCCAGTCCAACCCCCAAACCTTTTCTCCAGCTCTGACGGGTGCCTCATCTGGACCCCAAAGCATGAGCATGTTTATAGCTAAAGGAGATCCAGATCCCAGAGGCCGCTTTGGCTGATGCTGGGCCTCTTGGAATCCAGCTGGGTCGTGGGGTCAGGGTTGGATTCCCTGGGCTGGACTGGAGGAGGGACAGTCCATAGAGAGGGGCACAGTGCTAAGGACTCCATGGTGGCAGAGACCAAAGCCAGGTACCAACTGAGGGCCAAGGCCCCTAGGCTGGGGGTCAGGTGGCTGGACCTCAGGCTGCTGTGCTCAAAGCAAGAGCCTGCAGGGATTCCTGAAGACACCAGGCTCCAGGCCCGTGCCTATGCCAGCAGTGATGGCTCCAGGCCCATGCCCATGCCAGCAGTGATGGCTCCAGGCCCGTACCCATGCCAGCAGTGATGGCTCCTGGCCCGTGCCCATGCCAGCAGTGATGGCTCCAGGCCCGTGCCCATGCCAGCAGTGATGGCTCCAGGCCCGTGCCCATGCCAGCAGTGATGGCTCCAGGTCTGTCTTCAGGGGTCCAGCACACAGGGGTTGAATATGTGTTTGGAGCCAGCTAATGGAACCGGGATTAGGGCAGAGGACCCCCACCGTGAGACAAATACTGAGTGCCCCAGGTGCTCTGTGGAGGGGCCCCTTCCTGGATTGCTGAGCAGGAGGCGGGGTGCAGAGGTGTGCAGGACTGGGTCTGTACCCACGTGGGCCACCCAGGACAGGCCACGCAACCCAGGCACGTTCCTCTCAACCCCTCTGAGCCTCAGTGTCCTCAGCTGTAAAACAGGGCCTGCCATTCCAATCTGGAGGGTCTGCTGTGAAAGTTCAGTGAGAAGACAGACCCCTAATAGGTGCTAATTCCTCACTGCCTGCTGCTGTGTCTTGAAGATGCGTGTAAGAAAATGGCGCTGAAGTTACCGTGTGCGTTTTTCAGTTTACCCTCGGATGCTGGTGTTGCAGTGTATTGTGTCAGAGTAAAGCCTTGCCCCGGGAACTGCAGGGTACAGTGGAGCTGAGGCTTGGGGTGGGGGAGGGGGAGGGTTGGGTGGCCTGTTCCTTGTAGTCTTCGGTTGCTTTTGAGACCCCCGTGTTCTGCCATCCATGCCCCCAGAAAAGATGGCACGTGGAGAAAATGCAAGCAGGGGATGCAGAAGAGCTGGCCTCCACTGAGGTACTCTTTTTTGTAAACTGATGCTGTTTTCCTCCAAAGTCTAGAGGTAACAGGAAAGCAGAAAGACAGACCGCGTCAGCCTATCCCAGCAAGCCTGGTGCTTCTCCTCATTTCTTCTTGGGACTTTGCAATCCTATAGGTGTTCGTTGCTTTGGATTTTAAGCATCTCGTGGGTGAACTTTTTTCTGCCCTCCATGGAGGTCTGGCCTGGCTTGGTTGGTCAGAGCCTAGTGAGATGGCGGTGGGTGGGGACACAGTGACAGCCTTGTTCGTTACGCTCACTGGGGCCACTTTGGTTGACCTGGGCTCTGTTCCCTACCATGGGCTCCTGCGTGTTAGGAGGGGACGGGGGCACGGTCCAAAGGCCAGCCTGCGGTGACGGGTTGTGATTGAGTCCCCTTCCCAGCTCAGGCTCCTGTTATAGCAGGGTCAAGACCACAGAGAGTGGGCCGAGATGGTCAGGTCCGAATGTCTCAGGCCCGGTCCTCGGCACCCTGCTGTGTCTTAGTTGTCCCCTAGGGGTCAGTCTGAGACCGAGAAGAAGTGGGTGCCTGGCTCACTGTGTAGGTTTCCCAGATGCCCTAGGGAATGCACACCTGAGGCACGATTTGAGGGGGTGTGGGGATGGCACACAGATGGGACAGAGACGCATGACCCCTGTGCTATGTGTATATGTTGGGAGATGAAGCTTGTCGTCACCTCTGGATGTGGTTCATAGTCAAAGCAGTGAATGCTTGATTGCTGTCTGGCAGGCGAGCAGCTGCCACCTGACCCCTGAAAGCACCCTGCCCTTTTTGTCCCCCTCCCAGGCCCCAAGAAGCCCCCCCACCCACCTTAGGCATCAGGCAGGGGCCCCTGGGGCTGCCTGTGCAAGTCTGTTTCCGGCAGTTGATGCCTGGATGCACCAGTTCCTGACCTTACTGGATGTGGCTCCGCAAGCATCCCCAGAGACTGCGGGACCCTGGCACAGGACACTTTGAGGCTTGGGAACCCCAACTGTTGGGGAGGCTGTTGAGTTTCCTGATGCAGAGAAATTTGCTTCTGGTCAAAGGGAATGCTAGGTGTGTCCTCAAGGACTCCCCAGGATCCCTGGGTCCAGGCATAGGGTTCCTGGAATGGCCCTGGGAGTCCCCCTGAGACAGTCTTGCTCAGGCTGCCCATCAGCCCCCAGACCACATGCTGTAGGGGCCGCCATGGGGCTGGTGAAGCAGGAGCCGGCGGGGAACAAACCTCTGGAACACTGAAGAAGAAGGAAGTGGCTTTTTATTCAGCCAGGAGCTGCAGGAGGCCTCATTCACAGAGCTCATTCACGGAGCTCTCTGAGCTGCAGCTTCTCTCCCCTTTTATAGGCTTACAACAATAAAGGGGAAACTGAGGTGGAACTATGTCATTGTCCATTTGTTGGACGTTTGACCTTACAATCTTTTGGCTTCATTGATTTCCTAGTTTATATGCGGCGTGAGCGGGGACCAGCAGGGGAGGGGGCTTACAGAGAAGACAAAAGCAACAAGCTGTTTGTCAGCGGAGGTGTTCCCAGGAGGGAGCCTGGTCCGTGGAGACGTGGGGGTGTGAACCCGTGCCAGGCTCCAGCTGGCGGGGGTAGCATTCATTTTGCAGCTCTTTCAAGGTTAACAGATAGTAGAGACGCTGGGAACTAAAGAGGGAGTCATTTTTCCGCTCTTTGGTATTTTATTTTATTTTTTTCTTCTTCACCCTCCTTCCCATCTGGAAGTGGGGGAGGGAGGAGATGAAATTGAAGGAGGCTAGGGGGTCTCCCCTCTCAAGGGGACCAGGGAATATGTGGAGAGCCCCATCCTTGGGTGCTGAAGGCAATGGGATAGTTGCTAGGGGCCCGTGGTCACCCCTCGGCAGGGGGTGATGTGAATCCTAATCTTACAAGTGCTGTAAGGCCCTGGCCCCTAGTGGTCCACCCTATGGTGGATTAACAGGGAACCCCATTAAATGGAGAAGGCGTCTGGCCACCTGCCTCTCCTGTGTAGCCACCATGCCAGCAAGCGGTGTCAGTCGCCTCCAACCCAGAGTCATCCTCAGTGCCGCTCACGCAGCTGCCTCGAGTCCTCTGTTCCCCACTCACCCCCACCTCCCCTGCCCATCGCAGCCACTGCCACCCACTGACTGGGCATCCTCCTGTCCCCGGCCTTCCTCTCTCCACATCCCATCCCAGTTTGCCAGGCCATCCCTAAGTTGCTGCTCTGATTTGTCACCCCACTCTTGGGACCCATCCTTACCAATGGATAAAAACCAGCATCGGCTCCTCCCCACTGCTCCAGCCTTATCTCTCACCATGGCACATTTCACACCTAAAACTGGTGAGGCCAAACCGCTCCCTGTTTTTTTTGTTGTTGTTGTTTTTCTTTCTTTCTTTCTTTTT